GGAGGAAGGGGGAGGGGGTAGGGGAAGGGCAGCGGACGGGCAGGGGGGGGCGGCAGAGGCTTGGAAAAAGCAGCTATCAGGAGCACTAGGGCTTCATCCCAAACCACGAGGGGCTTCTCTGTGACGTCACGAGGGGAAGTGGCTGTGAGGGGGAGGGGGGGGTGGAGGGAAGGGGGGGAGGGATTAATAGGAAGGGGAGTCATCGTGATTGGCAGGTGTGAATCCCGGTGATTTATTTGTCTTTATTGAATTATTGTGATTCGTTGGCGCTCTTTTCGTACTCACAAATGGATATACATACAGGTGGAAACACACACACACACACACACACCCACACACACACACACACGCACACACACACACACACACACACGCACGCACGCACCCACACACATAGTACATATAAATAGATAAATAAATCTATATGTATATCTATATCTATATCTCTAACTATCTATCTGTCTATCTATCTATCTATCTGTCTATCTATCAATCTGTCTATTTATCTATCTGTCTATTTATCTATCTGTCTATCTATCTATCTATCTATCTATCTATATACATACGTAGACACGCACTTACACCCACCCACCGACACATAGACACACAGAGACTATTACACAATTACGCCTCTCCTTTTATCTACATCCATCTCATTCTACTTCCCACCTATTCATTCATTTTCGCATCCATTCTTCTTTAGCTGTTTATTTACATCCTCCTTTCGGTATATCTATATTCCACCCATATCGTCCTTGTGCCCGAAATGCATATGGTTTCTGCGAGAGGCGAAGGTCAGATAAGCAAAAAAAAAACGAGGACAGGCGAGGGATAACTATATTATATTTGGCTTCAACCACAGCTTACAAATAACATGAATCAATAACAATATGACAGGAGAAAACACCACTCCTACGCGGTGTGTATATAAACCGTAAGTAAATAGATTCGTATTCGATTTGTTTTCTTTCTATCAAACATAGATTTTGATTCTGGCTTGTATGTTTGTTTGTTTTTTATTTAAAGCTCTGTTGCTTCTGAGTTTGTTGAAGAAAAAAATATATACATTTTTTTCTTTTTCTTTCTGCTTTTCATTTGTTTCTATATCATTTACAGTTATATGAAAACTATATATGTTTTATTCTTATATTATATAATGATATCTTGTTTAGATTAAATTATCTGTATATATAGAGCACATGATTACAAGAAAATAAAATGCTTGATTATGACACCAAGCTGTTACAATGCAAAATACTAAAGATAACAGTTTAGGGTTACTCATTGCAAAACTACCAATTCTTTTAGAGGAATGAACACACGCACACACACGAGTATATATATATATATATATATATATATATATATATATATATATATATATATATATATATATATGCATGCACACACACACACACACACACACACACACACACACACACACACACACACACACACACACACACACACACACACACACACACATATATATATATATATATATAATATATATATATATATATATATATATATATATATATGTAATATATACACACATACATATATCATATATATATATATATATATATATATATATATATATATATATATATATATATATATATATATATATATGTGTATATATATACACACATACATATATCATATATATATATACATACATATATATGTATATATATATATATATATATATATATATATATATATATATATATATATATATATATATATATATATATATGTATGTATATATATATATATATATATATATATATATATATATATATATATATATATATATATATATATATATGTGTGTGTGTGTGTGTGTGTGTGTGTGTGTGTGTGTTTGATTGCACACACAAACATAAGGTAGGCAATGTAAAACCGCTTACAATCTTAGATCAGAAGTACTAATCCTTATCAATAACAGAATAGATTTCCTTAACCTAAGTATATAAGAGTGGGATGCAGCCATGTCTCTTTATAATGGCGTTTAATCGATCATTTTTTCCCATCAAAAGCAAATAGCAATAATTTACAACAGAGCCTCTTATGTAAGAAAAAAAGAAAAACAAAAAACATCTACAAGGTAAGACAGATTCATGTTTATGTGATATATATACCAATATATATATATATATATATATATATATATATATATATATATATATATATATATATATATATATATATATTTTTATTTTTGTTTGCTTATCTAAAAAATAACATTTTCTTGAAGAACAACAAGATAAGACAGTTTTGCATACGTAAAACTTCTCCCTTATTCATAACACTAAAACTTTGCACTCCCATGACTGCATCTCACAAAACACACCCACAAAACTTGGCAAAAAGATTCACAAACCACGGAATGAGACAGACATGGTATTCTTGAAAACACAAAGTCGCAAGAATGGACAACGATCAATAAACTATATTCATTTCTTTTAAACCAGCGCTGTAATTTTAAATCGCATTTTTTAAAAAACAACATCGTGATTGATAATATATTAATCTTTATATATAAGAGAGTCTTGTTTCCGTTAGAAGAGCTGCATTTTATTCCAAGCAATAGGGTTACATTAGTAACCGTAAGTACATAAGTAAGTGAGAATTTCACTTGTTAGGTCCTTGATATTTTCAAAATTTGATTGGCAGGTTTGATCAGAATGATATGAGTGATTTTTAGAATTTCTTTTTTTATTATTTTGTCATTTTAAGGATTGATTGGTTAGTTTGATTTCTAGTCAGTTATGATACATTTTTTTAGATTTGGATTTTATATATATTGATACAGTCCAATGTCCTAAATGTACCCAGCGAATGAAACACCTCGCTTTGATGACAAAAAAGTGAAATGAGTACTTATTGCCTTGTCATCAAATTATGCCTTTGCTTTATTCATACTTATGTTGTGAAAATTAGTCAAAGAAATACAAATTTGATACAGAACAGTACATTATATTGAAAAGAATCTATCTGTGCATGCCGTGTGTGTGTGCGTGCGTGCGTGTGTGAGTGTGTGTGTGTGTGTGTGTGTGTGTGTGTATGTGTGTGTGTGTGTGGGTGTGTGTGTGTGTGTGTGTATGTGTGTGTGTGTGTGGGTGTGTGTGTGTGTGTGTGTGTGTGTGTGTGTGTGTGTGTGTGTGTGTGTGTGTGTGTGTGTGTGTGTGTGTTTCCACCATTTCGTCAACACGATGGCATATTTAACGTATCAAATCAAAAGGAAAGGAATCCAGAATTTTACGAAGATTCGTCTTTGTCAAACTCCTCTGTTATAAAGACTTGAAACCTGTCTGTGTGGAGTTGGAACGTGTTTTGTGTGGTTGGAGATGGATTAAGAAATGTCAATATGTCATCAGCTGAGTCTCATTTTGGACATAGTCTGCATTTAATCTTCGTATATTTTGGGTTTTGTTTCATTTGCTGAAAACACCGTTAGATAAAATGGGCGAGATAATGAAGTTTCAGAATTGGAGCTGAGAGAGAGAGAGAGAGAGAGAGAGAGAGAGAGAGAGAGAGAGAGAGAGAGAGAGAGAGAGAGAGAGAGAGAGAGAGAGAGAGAGAAATAAGAGAAAGGAAAGAAAAGAGAGATAGTAATGGGTAAACACAGTTAAGGAAAGAGAGACAGAGAGAGGAAGACGGGAAGGTCCTAGCATTATCTTATCAAAATATAGGGTACAACTTTATTCGACGAGTTAAGGTTTATCTCTATAATTATTAATATGAACCTATGCTTAAGGATTAATAGTTTCTAATGCATTTAAGTTGAGAGAGAAAAAAAGTGCTCATAAATCTATCAAGAAATACGAGCTTGATTATTTCCTCTTTTACTGAAATCTTATGCACCTATCTACTGATTATTTTCCTACAGAAGTTATTGTTCCCTGTAAAACACCAGTGAATGGCTACGTGTATTGCCAAAACGAAGGGCAATATACATATTAAGGGTATTTTAATGTTGGTTATATTTCTGTGGTTATAACGTAGCACAACAGAGGATCTGTGTCCACCGCTAAACAGTAGACTTAAGCCGGGTTTGAGACTTAAAATCTTAAAACAGACCTGCCAAAGTCATGAGGAAAGCGATTTACTTATTTATTTATTTATATATCATTTCACTTACTCGATTCAAAATCAGTTTCATGATATATATACGAAGACCAAATCTTCTAAAAATGAATATTTCACAATATATATTTTTTCTCTCCGCTTTCAATCCCTAATGTCATTTTTTCCTCTACATTATTCACTCGAATAGCGTTATTTCTGTCCCATGATTGAAGATCTATTATATATAGCACATCTTAGGACAGCCTCACCTACTTCTCCGACAAAATACTTATTAGCATATTTTATGGCCTTTCTAACTGGGTACACTTTAGCTGGTGTGACTCTAAAGTGTGTCCACTTAAGCCTCTTATCAATTATATCAAATTTGATACTTTTCAACGATTAAATTTCCAGGTCTCTTACCTCCCGTATTTTATAATGAAAACTTGGCAGGTTTGTTGATAAGAGAAATAATTTTAAAATGATATCTTATTTAAACACCATATTAGTTTCTTTTACAGTCAACGTTAGAGCAAGAAATAACTTTACACATCTTAGCAATAGAGGACAAATTTGAATACCAGAGATCAGAGATAAGAATTAACACACAAGAATATAGGCAAATTATGTTTGATTTTGTTATGTTTATTACTTTTAATATTTTGGATTTTTGATTATCAGATGCGTTTTCAGAAGAAAAAAAAATCTGTTTTTTTCTAAAATTTATAATTTTTTTTTCTCTTTTTTCTTTTTTTTTATCCTTATGCTAATTTTTTTCAGTATTTTTAAAACTAGGGTAATGCCTTTTGAATATATACATACAACTAAGATATGTGAATTAATTATATACAGCTTTGTTTTTTTTCTATATATTCTTAATATATTACTTTCTAAATGATTAAAAAAACTTACTTCAAAAATACTCAATCCACCATCAAACACCTAAATCAAAATATAATTACTTCACAATATAAAATTACATGCGAATACGTAATAAAATAATGAATAGATAAATAAATTGTTAATTACAAACATACACAATCGTGGTGCATACATTGGCGGTCACGTGACACCTTAATACTAATCTTACATGTACAGAGACTTGGTCAAAACACTTAAATGCACAGTGTAATCAAACACCATTTTCACAACTTCACATCAGGAGCTGTGTTTGAGTGAGAAAATAGAACTGCCCTTATATCTTTTTGTTTCTCTACTTTCTCTACGCGTGTCTACTGAGCCAACAGCATTTTGATCTGCTGTTTCGTACGATTTCGTTATTCTTTCAAAAAGGTAAGGTCCCGTGTTTTTGAAGGAATTATGGCGAAGGAGATGATTTTGAGTGGAAGGGTCGACCGCTGTGAGAGCGTCTTCGTGCTTCGTTCTTACATCGAGTGTCTTCTACGCAATGTATATATATATATATATGTATATATATATATATATATATATATATATATATATATATATATATATATATATATATACATATATACATATACATATATATATATATATATATATATATATATATATATATATATATATATATATATATATATATATATATATATGCATATATATATATATATATATATATATATATATATATATATATATATATATATATATATATATATATATATATATATACATGTATATATATACCTTTTACGAGACAACAAATCCTGCGACCGAACCGCTTCACTTGCCACAAGCTACACCTTCGCCTTCGAGAAACGGGCTTCGAAAACTTCTCATCCCTTGTCTTCGATTACGTGAGTGACTTCATCACCTCCCGACGTCGATCTCGATTAGTGACGTCACCTCCTGATGGCTCGCGGAGGGGGATCCGAAGACGTGACGTCAGAGGAGACGTCGCTCGAGTTGAGGACGGCGATGTCGCAGTGGAGCATGGCGTCGATGTTGTACACGATGGTGCTGTCCCGCGCGCACGCCTCTGTGAACTCGTCCAGGGTGATGACGCCGTCTTTGTTCAGGTCCAGCGTCTGGGGAGGAGGGAAGAGTTACACGGGGCACTGAGAACGGGACCTGGGTTAAAGGGCGTCAACCAGGCATTATTCGAGTGATATTATCCAGTTTCAGAGATGTCAATATATCAGCCTCGCTTGTCCCATGCTCTAAATGTTATTCTGCTCCAGAATAACATCCTATTTATTTATACCATTTCCTTTTTAGAGGTATTACTTTAATTTTGTCTTTCATTTTAGTTAATATTGCGAGAATGAGACAATCTGCAAATAGGTTGGTGTGTTCTTTTGAAGACTTTATGTTATTTTAGAAATATCATCTTTAGAGATATTGTCTTGTCTGAGATGTCTTGGTAAACAATATTTTTTAAAAAGTATTGTTAGTTATACAGCTAGATTAAGATGTAATGAGATTCCTGGTTGTGAGAAATTGTTGAAGATTCAATTTCCAAACATATAAATGGGTAAATAAAGGTGAACTCTATGATAATGTAATATCAATAGCTACATGATTATTAGGTTAAATCATAGCTAAATGCAAATTACGGGGAACGAACTCAAATATTTAGTAGCGTCGGTAATACTGAATCATAAACTGCAGCTTCTTTGATATCTGTATACTAAGATCTTTGGTATACGGATATAAACCTTTAAACACATACACGGGGACGAATATTTAGATAGGAATAAATGAACGAATCAATACATTAATATAAAAAAGAAAATATTATCGTACAGCTGTAGCAAAACGTTCGTTCATTTACAATACAAAAAGGTTATGCGAAATTTAATAATATTTTATAGTTACCCATATAAGTGCAAATTTTCTCTAAGATAAAAAGCCATTTTCTCAAGTA